GGACGGTACATCTCGCTTCTGGTACCTACCTTTGGGTAGGACGGTACATCTCGCTTCTGGTACCTACCTTTGTTGGACGGTACATCTCGCTTCTGGTACCTACCTTTGTTGGACGATACATCTCGCTTCTGGTACCTACCTTTGGGTAGGACGGTACATCTCGCTTCAAGCTGATCTTCCTCTCATCACTCAATGCACTATAACATTCATTTTGAAAGGTTGGTCTTCGAAGGTTGAAAAGTTTCGTGAATCAAATTAAAAGGAGGTGAAAATAAAAAGAAGGTAAAAGAAAAAACAGTTAAATGAGGTCAAACATGGTGAAAGGCTATAAAGGAACCACTATATCACACACCACACTGATGTCAACATTTCTGTCGTCACTCGCGTATGCATGGGATTGATGAACAGAATCATCCACTACCGTGAGGGTTTAACAGAGGGTTCCCAACTCGTGGTTTGATGGTCTGGATTGTCTAATCCGTGGCTTGCTTTAACTCATTTACCTCTGAAGACACATATGAACTTGTCAAAATCAAAGATTGGAATAGTTCATTATGAAATTTCAGGGGTGAATGAGTTGACCTTGTGGTTAGACATTCACAAGTCTCACACCTAGAGTAGATATCTCCTTTGTATAACCTAACCTTAGAGAATGAATATTTCCTCTCTCATTTCTCACCCATTTTCGCAATTAATTCAAAACGATGAATATTTCAAAGCGAGTTTCGTATTAACATATGTAATATGTTTATATAATGCCGATTTTCACCGAGATCGGATTGTGACGTCATATATTTTATTCTAACAAATGTACGGATTGATTGGAACAAACCAAAGCACCAATCACGAACCAGTTAATAACAGTCAGGATGACAGGAATATATGACCTGCGTAACATACCTATTCAATCATGCGTTGAGATTGGCAAATATTTAGAACAAATTGGTTATTATTTCTCAACAAATTGATCCAATACGTTAGATCTAATAGCGACTTTGATAACAGGGTACGTCCGTGACTTTGTGTGCTGCGCGTTAATTTAAGGCTTAAGGTTTCGTAAACACATGTTTTCGCAATAAGCACGCGCTGTGTATTTCCAGAAATACAGATACGCATGTTTTGAAACAGTTAGGAATGTAATGGTGAAGGCAGGCAATACCAAGCATATGTCTACATTGGACTTTACAGGGAGTTCTCATTTACTAGTGATCGTATACATCCGCACGAGTTACTCTCACTGCCTGTAACATCCGCACGAGTTACTCTCACTGCCTGTAACACCCGCACGAGTTACTCTCACTGCCTGTAACATCCGCACGAGTTATTCTCACTGCCTGTAACATCCGCACGAGTTATTCTCACTGCCTGTAACATCCGCACGAGTTACTCTCACCCACGTAACATCCGAACGAGTTACTCTCACTGCCTGTAACATCCGAACGAGTTACTCTCACTGCCTGTAACATCCGCACGATTTACTCTCACTGCCTGTAACACCCACACGATTGTGCCAAACCCAAATGCCTATGTAAACGTTATCATTAACTGTAAATCAAGTAGTAACGTATATAATTGAATTGTATATAACACACGGTATAAAAATGGCATAAGACAAAAAGTTTATCCTCAGAAACATGATTTCTTATAAGCAAGTAAATTTATTCCCTACATATGAGATCAATACATATATAGTGACATCGCAATTTAAAATTAAATAATATACATTGTACCACGTTGATATATACATTTGGGTTTTTATTCTCCAGCTAAAGTGAAACAGATGGTTAATTGTGAGAAAGAGTGCTAAAATAATCACATTGAAACTGAAGTGTTGACTGGTTTACATAATGTTTAAACATTAGAAAGACTTTAATAGAAAAAATGGAGGAAAAGGGTGCTGGCGGGGAAGGGGGCTGGTGGGNATAGTCATTGATTTGTGTGCAAATTGTGCGAGTGTGGAAAAAAAATATTTGATGCTAAAAATCAGAACTATATAAAGAAAACTAGCTACGGGTGATGATAGACACTAAGCACTGTTATATTCAGTAAAGTAAAACTGAATAAAAAAAAGGGAGAATGATTCACTAACTATACACGAGGTGATCACAGAACATTTCTATAGTATGTCATTCTCATTTCTACTTGATTTCAAATGTAAAATAATAAACTTTTGTCTTTGCTAATATATATAATGACGAACAATTGTGTTATTCTTTGACAGTTATGAGATATATGATAAATGTTTGTATTGAATTTGATGTATATCTACGTTTTGGTCATCATGTATTACTATGACCATGAAAGGATATAAATACTTTTAAACTTGAAAATCAGGAAGTAACTGATTTTTTTCCGAATGAAGTCACTGTTAAGGGAACAATCTTGGTTAAGAATATTTTCAAGTTATACAGCAATTCTGTCTTATGGAAAATCTTTTACTTTGGAGTTTCTTTAAGTTAAGAGTAGAATGTAAATTATAGAGTTGATGTTATAATTGATATGACATGCACAATTAGTGGGGGTGTTTCTTCGTTTTCATTTTTGTTCGGGGAGGAAGTAGGGTGTGTTTATTTTAAAATAATTGTCATATTTACCTCATAGTGCTGAAATCAACATATTTTTTCTGTGTTGTCCAAATTTGATTTTTTATATCAGATATATCCCGCTTGCATTTTTCAATCTCCACCGCTTTTAATCCTTCAACTGAAATTTGAAGTAGGACATAAACATGTTATTTTCTTACTCTGCAAAATGAAGATAGGAAAACAAATCGTAAAAAGATTCCGAAAATGCTAGCTTTCGTCTTAAATATTACCCTACTTGTAACAAGGTCCAGTAACGACGTAGTCAGACCATTCTTTTACATCAAGCTAGCATTGTTGTTGTTTTGTTTTTATTCCAGCCAAAAAGTACATATTTTCTTTATCCAAAAGTATATTCGCGTACAACCTCAAAGGTTTCAACTAGTAATGACAGTTTTAGATAAAGACACATTTCGATAAACAAACAAGTTCCAGTTCGAAAAAATAAAATCAAAAACATTAAATAAAAAGTTTCGGTTGACCCTCGTAAATGCTGACAACATATACGGTTTTGTTCAATCGACTTATCATGAACCTTGAGGCTGTCTCCGCGGTATCAAAGATAAATAACCACTAACCTCTTACACAAGAGGGCTAAACTGAGTAAGAATGCATGGTACGTTGTATGATTACTGCGAGAAATTGATTATCTGCACGGCTGCACTTAGCCGGAAGAAATCACAACCAAGGTATTCGCTTCACGTGTCAATGCATTAAGCTTCTGATGGCGTCTAGTTGTCAAGGTATTCAATATGTTAGAAAAAGTTATTTCAAGAGGTGAAATGTCGATCACAAAACATGTACTCTTATCAAAACATCTCTAGATAAACAAGAACTACATTATAATTCCCAATTTTTACATTATTAAGACATTTTTGAGACGGTTATCTTTACAGAGCTATGCCGTCAATTAATTTATTAATCTTTAGTCGGTATGGCAAATTTAATATTACAATCTAAGTATTCTCAAGACCATATTGTATATTTCATACCACAGTTTCCAGATTTTTGAGGCTATATTGTATAGCTTTACAACAAATTCAAGATTCTTGAGGCTGTATCACACATTTTAAATGACATTTTTGAATTCCTGGAGCTAAATAATTTTTAAATACATTCTTAGCCATACTTTTAGGATGAACAAGGACATCCTATGGACTTACGTTCAAGCCTTCGCTAAACGTTTGTGTTAACGACGTGATATTGTATACTTTCCCACAGTTTTAGGATGATCAAAGGCATCTTATGTACTTACGTTCCCGCCTTCGCTAAACGTTTGTGTTAACGACATGATATTGTATATTTTCCCACAGTTTTAGGATGTTTAAAGGCATATCATGTACTTACGTTACATCCTTCTCTAAACGTATGTGTTAACGACATGATATTGTATACTTTCCCACAGTTTTAGGATGATCAAAGGCATCTCATGTTTTTACGTTCCAGCCTTCTCTAAACGTATGTGTTAACGATATATTTTCCCACAGTTTTAGGATGATCAAAGGCATCTCATGTACTTACGTTCCAGCCTTCTCTAAACGTATGTGTTAACGACATGATATTGTATATTTTTCCACAGTTTAAGGATGATCAAAGGCATCTCATGTTTTTACGTTCCAGCCTTCTCTAAACGTATGTGTTAACGATATATTTTTCCACAGTTTTAGGATGATCAAAGGCATCTCATGTACTTACGTTCCAGCCTTCGATAAACGTATGTGTTAACGACGTGATATTATACATCCTGAGCCACACTTTTAGGATGATCAAGGACATGTTATGTACTTACGTTCCAGCCTTTGCTACACGTATGTATTAACGACGTGATATCATATATTATACATCCTCAGCCACACTTTGAGGATGATCAAGGACATCTTATGTTCTTACGTTCAAGCCTTCGCTAAACGTTTGTGTTAACGACGTGATATTGTATATTTTCCCACAGTTTTAGGATGATCAAAGGCATCTCATGTACTTACGTTCCAGCCTTCTCTAAACGTATGTGTTAACGACGTGATATTGTATATTTTTCCACAGTTTTAGGATGATCAAGGACATGTTATGTATTTACGTTACAGCCTTCGCTAAACGTATGTGTTAACGACGTGATATTATATATTTTTCCACAGTTTTAGGATGATCAAGGACATGTTATGTATTTACGTTACAGCCTTCTCTAAACGTATGTGTTAACGACGTGATATTGTATATTTTTCCACAGTTTTAGGATGATCAAGGACATGTTATGTACTTACGTTCCATCCTTCGCTAAACGTATGTGTTAACGACGTGATATTATATATTTTTCCACAGTTTAAGGATGATCAAAGGCATCTCATGTACTTACGTTCCAGCCTTCGATAAACGTATGTGTTAACGACGTGATATTATACATCCTGAGCCACACTTTTAGGATGATCAAGGACATGTTATGTACTTACGTTCCAGCCTTTGCTACACGTATGTATTAACGACGTGATATCATATATTATACATCCTCAGCCACACTTTTAGGATGATCAAAGGCATCTTGTGTACTTACGTTCCAGCCTTCGCTAAACGTATGTGTTAACGACGTGATATTGTATATTTTCCCACAGTTTTAGGATGATCAAAGGCATCTTATGTACTTACGTTCAAGCCTTCGCTTAACGTATGTGTTAACGACGTGATATTGTATATTTTTCCACAGTTTGAGGATGATCAAGGACATGTTATGTATTTACGTTACAGCCTTCGCTAAACGTATGTGTTAACGACGTGATATTGTATATTTTTCCACAGTTTTAGGATGATCAAGGACATGTTATGTACTTACGTTCCAGCCTTCTCTAAACGTATGTGTTAACGACGTGATATTGTATATTTTTCCACAGTTTTAGGATGATCAAGGACATGTTATGTACTTACGTTCCATCCTTCTCTAAACGTATGTGTTAACGACGTGATATTGTATATTTTTCCACAGTTTGAGGATGATCAAGGACATGTTATGTATTTACGTTACAGCCTTCGCTTAACGTATGTGTTAACGACGTGATATTGTATATTTTTCCACAGTTTTAGGATGATCAAGGACATGTTATGTATTTACGTTACAGCCTTCGCTAAACGTATGTGTTAACGACGTGATATTATACATCCTGAGCCACCCTTTTAGGATGATCTAAGGCATCTTATGTACTTACGTTCAAGCCGTCGCTAAATTAATGTGTTAACGACGTGATAGTGTATGTGTTTCCACAGTTTTAGGATGATCAAAGGCATCTTATGTACTTACGTTCCAGCCTGCGCTCCAGTATGTTGATCCGTTTGGTTATGTCTGCCTTCATCTCCTCCACTTTGAATACTCTAAATTGAGGGAAAACACACAAACATCAACATGTTTTATTTCTTTATACTGATATAATCATAAAGTTTCGATTTCGAAAATATCCGTTTGTGTTGGTTCTACTTTTGTTCTACACATGAAACTCAATGATTCCGTGATTAATTCTTGCTTGTGTTGCTTCCTAAGATCACTGCATGTTTTGTTGAATTTATAAACGTTTTTGTTATTATTTTTCCGCAACTTTAAAAAAAAAACTGTTGTATTACCTATACCTTTTATCCCCATTGCAGTCAAATATTTAGCCGTGTATTGAACCATAGTTTTCAAAAATTCACGGGGCTAAGTTTTAGAAATTATCAGTTCCTCCAAAAATGAATTTTATTGAGTAGTCATACACTAGTTATAATGGAAACTATATTTAATGACATAGAATTGTGCTCTATATAAAATGAAAATTTAATCAAGTTATTCAACAATTACCGAGTTTTTATTTTATAATTCGGCAAATGACTATTTGTGTTTCATTTGTTATATAAGTGTCTATCGCGTCATCTGTACCGTTTAGATTACCACTTACGTTTTATGTATACCACAAAATGTCTCATACTTAACATTATATTTAGTGCCTCTATTGTCCTTTGTTTTAATAAGTTTCCTTTGGGTTTTTTTTTTTTTCTAAACTAGAATTTCTTTCTTGGTTTTAGCTTTATATCTGTTTGGCCCTTTTTATTATTTCCCCTGTGAATTATTCAATTCAAATGATGTACGTTACAAATGTTTCATCAACTGCGTGGCAACAAAGTAACACATCCATTCTGTTGTTGTATGTTTGATGTCCTTAGTCAATGTCATGCTATCGATAAGATAGCACGTGTCATCCATATATCTTGTGTTTTTATATGTTTATTATTCTTATTCAATGTTTTGTTATTTTTTGTTTTTTCACTGTATTTATATGTTTTGTATTCTAATTCAATGTTATGTAATGATACCGTAGCAAGGATTATTGTTGTTTTCCACTGTATTTATATGTTTTATATTCTTATTCAATGTTATGCTATGATATCGTAGCAAGGATTATTGTTGTTTTTTCACTGTATTTATATGTTTTATATTCTTATTCAATGTTATGTTATGATATCGTAGCAAGGATTATTGTTGTTTTTCCACTGTATTTATATGTTTTATATTATAATTCAATGTTATGTTTGATATTGTAGCAATGGGTTATTGTTATTTGCATTCTCGGGTGCCTCTTGTTGTCTCTGTGGTTTAATTGGTAGAGGATTGGCGTGTATCTGTCACGTCATGTTTTGGTATATCATCATGTTTTGGCATATCATCATGTTTTGGTATATCGCCATGTTTTGGTATATCGTCATGTTTTGGTATATCATCATGTTTTGGTATATCGTCATGTTTTGGTATATCGTCATGTTTTGGTATATCATCATGTTTTGGGATATCATCATGTTTTGGTATATCGTCATGTTTTGGTATATCGTCATGTTTTGGTATATCGTCATGTTTCGGTATATCATCATGTTTTGGTATATCATCAGTTATTGTTTTGGATTCTTTTATTCTTTATTGGCTTACGCTTAACGTTTTGTGAGTTTCCTAGATTTGTTCTGCTGAAATACGTTTAACAAATAAGACAATACTATTTAGATGATCTTAGAATAAATTTGTGCTCTTGAAATTTGTCAGTGAATATGAATGGAGCCGACCTATCAATCAAAATTAAGAAGGGTGCTAGACAGGCATTAACCTTCCTATCACTTGTGGAAAATGTAATCAAAATTAGTCAATGATGGTTTGAACAGCACTGCAGGATTCAACGTCAGTAGGTGTCTACGCATGCGTGCTCAATCATACCTGTATATCGCGGCGGGTAGGCAATATACACTAGGTGCGGGCTGCATGCAATGATTCGCTAAATTTGTATAGTACTGTGTCGCAATTTGATCAGCTTTTTTAAGTTTTGAAGTGTAATAAATCTATAATTAAGATTGACTATATTTATAAAACATTTAGATCGTGTCATGTACAAATTTCAATATAAAATTAAAATAAATCAATATGTTTATTTATCAATAATTTGATTCGAATGTTTTTTGGTAGTAAAATTGTTTACATATTAAAATGATTTTCGTGATAAATTAGTATTTTTAATATACGTTTGATTTGCTTGAGTTTTAACAGTATTTTATAAGATTAGAAAAGTTCGTTTTGCTTTCTGCGTCGGTTTCTTCATACTTTCAGTATGTGTTTCCTCACTGTGTTGGTGTTTGATACAAAAGTTCTCAGTCAAAGAAATCGCCCATTTTATAATGAGCAAAATACTTTTTTAATGCTTCATTGCAAATTGCATTCGGTAACCAGTAGTATCGTATTTATCTGCAGTTAAAAAGGTCCTGAAGAATATTACAACAGCTACAAATGTAGGTACAACACAAATGACGATTTCGTAAATTGATCATTCACAAATAGAGTATGCTTTAGTTTGTTCAATTTCATGGGAAAGTTATACAAATAATATTTTGCTAGGTGATTAAAACGGACAAAAAAATCAAAATTGAAAATGATAGCATGATTTCCCCGGATATGAATCAATGAGGGGAATTACGCATGCGTTAGGTTGGAATGGAACAAATGAGGGGCTACATTACCTGTTCAAATCCATATTTTGAGAGCTAAAATATAGAGATTGTAATGTCTCAACTATAAGTATCCTATACAAAAACAAACGGTCATTTTGAGTGTATTTGTCTCTTAATTTCCTCTTATAAATAATCCATGATATATCATACAGTTTGACATTTGATCTTAAAGTATGATATTATATCTTACAGTATTACATTATATCTTACAGTAGGATGTTATGTCTTGCAGTATGAAATTATATCTTACCATATGACATTATTCCTTATTGCAAGTTATTTTTATATTACAGTATGACAATTTATCTTACTGTATGACAATTTATCTAACTGTATGAAATTTCATATTACTGTATGACATCATATCTTCCTGTTTGACCTACGGCGACAACTTATGAAATAATCATGTATAACACTTCGCTTTGTGTAGTTCAACAAATAACACACAGCTTTTGGCATAGTTGACGCCTAATTTTCAGAAATCGTAAAATAATTACCCTCGTATAAAAACGAGAAATAGGGTCTTGAACTGAACTTTGCGAAATGCTGGGATCCGTAGCTATGTGGTTGATGTCATGAGTATCAAAAAAGTATCAATTAATCCGAAATTATGCTACGGTTCCCGTGGCTAACAGCAGTTATCGGTAAACATGCTCATTCTCAAATAATTCAGGTCCATAGGTTGGAGGTTTTAATGTCACTTTAGTCAACAGGAACGTAAGATTTATTATAGTACTATCTTACATCATCATAGATTGTTTCTATTTGAAGTTGTGTCATTAACGCCAAAGGGATTCTAACTCAATATACGAAATAGTGCAAAGTACAAACTATACAAACAAAACTCAACTTGATACACACTTCTCATTCCACAACGTCAGTATGGTCCTAATTAATATATTGTATTAATTGGCATGGTGTGTTACGTCACCAAGCAGTTATGGTGCCGACGACGTGCACGGTAACAATGTAATGTAGCGTGCGTGTTAGTGCAAATTAATCTGTGGTCACTTACTTGCTGAACTGTTCGGCGACGTGTGTCAATACCTGCGTAAAGGCCTCCCCGTCACCAGCTGCGAAGGAAAACACACCTAACACAGTTATCCCTCTATTATATTTAAGTGTGATCTGCTATTCGATTGGGTCTTTTTTGTATAAAAATTGAAAATAAAAAGATAAAACAAAGTTACTGACCACAATTAACAGGACCATGCCCAAGGTCAATAGGCGTTGTTGAAATCATTGTCTCGGGTCTCCATTTGACGATTTAATTTGGATTTTACCGTAATTTGTATGGTGGATGAGGTTGCTGAAGCTGAGGATGTGAACACGTCGGGAATACCTAGTCTTGTTCTCTTTGAGTTGGTTTAAGTGTATCCATGCACATCGTATTTAGTTTATAGTTAACCATTGCTTCGTCGATATTGAGAACGAATTGCTATTTTATGTACACTTTGGTTTCATGTTGTTTTCCAATAATATCTTAGTACAAGTACTTTCTCTAGTCAAACACAACGCTTCGATGTTCTTTTTAATCTAATCAAACACAACGCTTCGATGTTTTTTTTATCTAATCAAACACAACGCTTCGATGTTCTTTTTAATCTAATCAAACACAACGCTTCGATAGTTTTTTTTAACTAATCAAACACAACGCTTCGATAGTTTTTGTATCTTATCAAACACAATGCTACGATGATATTTTTATCTAATCAAACACAATGCTACGATGATATTTGTATCTAATCAAACACAGCGCTACGATAGTGTTTGCTCCTATCAACCCAATGGTACGATATTACTCAATCAAGCATATTGTTAAGATAATACTTTCAACAGTCAAAAACAATCTGCTAAATATGATTTTTTCTAATCAAACACAATGCTCTAGTAATAATGTGTCTACAGTCAAAAGCAATGCTTCACCACGGTCTTTTCCTTATTAATATAATTTTTTCCCAGTCATATACAATTCCATAATAGAATGTTTCTCCAGTCAAAATACAATGCTAAAATATATTTTTTTCCAATCAAACACAATGCTGTCATATGCTTTTTTTCTTCTCAACGAAAATGCTAACTATGATAAATTCTCCGTTTAAAATACACTGCTAAAATATCATATGTTCTCAAATCGAACACAGGGTTTTCTCCAGTCAAACACAATGCTACAATAGAGTATTTTTTTCCTGACAACATTATTATAGGGTAAATAATTAGCTAATTCCATATTGGCCTAGTTATTAGGTCGAAGTCTGTCATATTGGCCCGAGGCCGCAGGCCAATGGCCAATATGACTGACCGAGGCCTAATAACTGGGCCAATATGGAATTAGCTAATTATTGACCATTTTATTAATTAACTATGCAGATATAAAAACAATGAAACAGGTAATTCTTACATATTCCATCAGAAAATAACTTTTGTTTAAAATTTTAATTAAATTGCGACGATTCAGATTGGTGCACAAACTGATCATGGGGACCAGAACATCAATCATCTGAGACCCTGTTTTTGCGTTCCTGTCAGAGATCCGCTCCATTCTTGTCTGTTTATAGACATGTATGTATGTTATCGTCTGCGCAAGGAACATGTCGGGTTTTGCCGTAGGATAAGACGTTACCTTCCGATGAGTTCCGAACAGTTTACCGGGCGCGTTCGATTACGCGCGTTTTCTCGTATTGGCCGAGTTTGTCAAAAGTCGGCCAATATTTTCCATAAAGGCCGACTTTTTTCAATATTACCGACTTTGTGTAACAATTCCGATATTGGCTGAGATTGTTGATTATATTGCACGGGCCGTTTATTACATATTACAGCAATATCTACATAGTTAATTAATAAACAAGGATTATGATGGGTTTTTTCTATGTATTACTAATTAATTCTAAGCTGTATGCTGTTGATGGGTTATTATATTATCACATTACACTGTGTGCCATACCACAAATGTAAATGAAAAATGTCTTTACTGCGCTCATTTTATTGCGTTCATGATTTGACAAAAGCCATCATGGATCGACGATATCAAATACAGATCTTTGGAGGTTGTTTCACTCTGAGTATTCCTAACATTCGTGTTATTCAAACTGCTGTTGATATCAAATCCGTCGTTAATCGGCAAAACAAAAGGTCATGACCGCAAGACACACGCAACCATGGAAAAATAACTATAGATAAACACAGGTAACTATGGATAAACACACGTGACTATGGATAAACACATGTGACTTTGGATAAATACACGTGACTATGGATAAACACACGTGACTATGGATAAACACACGTTACTATGGATAAATACACGTGACTATGGATAAACACACGTGACTATGGATAAACTAACGTGACTTTGGAAAAACACAAGTAACTATGGATAAACACACGTGACTATGGATAAACACAAGTAACTATGGATAAACACACGTGACTATGGATATATACACGTGACTATGAATAAACACACGTGACTTTGGATAAATACACGTGACTTTGGATAAACACACGTGACAATGGATATATACACGTGACTATGGATAAACACACGTGACTTTGGATAAACACAACTAGTGTCGCTGTCCCTTTTTTGTCATGTTTGGCAGTTAGAGAAATTCAAGTGCATACATAACTTGATACAGAAATTGAGTCTCTATGTCAATACCTCATAAACGAAAATCTCTTTTTAGATATATCAAAATTGTTCATTATTGCCATTTAATTACTACAGCTGTACTGGGCTGTATTGAAGGTGTTAGATTAAGCCCTTTATAGATCACAATTAATTACTGAACTTTGTGAGACTACAGAGATATGTAATAAACCGTTGCTATCGTTACCTTATATTAAAAGTACGTACATTTAACGCATGGACTGGCTATTTTAGCAATAACATTGAGTATAAATAGTACTGTGCTAGCATTAGGTCCTTGATCACCACTCCCTAAGTACCTACATTCAATCTAAGTGGCGAAGTCATTTTTGTTACCTTTTAACAATATCAATCATGATAACTATTTAAGAGAACCAGACTCAAAATAAAATAAAATGAAACTGCTACTATAGTTTTTACGAGAATAAGTGAAATATTTATTTTTAAATCTTTATTTAAAAGAGTCGATTCTAAATAAAATCATCGATCTGTAATAAACTCTTCATCGACGAAAAACGAGCTTATCTTTGTCCCAAATCCGTAATTTAAAAATTTAAAGCAGAAAAAATCGGGGTTATCAATGGTTTGACACCACGCCCTAACCCAGTTTAGTGATAAAAATGACAAATGGGTCGAAAGCTTTTGGCAGTGTTCAAACCATAGCTTAATACAACTTATTTCAAGTTTAAATTATTTGTGCTAAAGCAGAAAAAATATGTCAAAAATGTATATATATGTAGCTGATAGATACAAATATGTCACGGAATGAGATGATCGAACCATTTCTATTCACAATGGAATGATCAGGTAAAAAAGTGTATGTTACTATTTATATAAACTCAATGTTATTTTCAGGTATCATAATATATGGTGGTATAGTAGCATATGGCTTAGAACAATGTAATCTTCAGGTATGAAAGTACAAATGGCTGTTAAGTAACAAAACATTAACCAATCATATCACCAAACATAAGTGTATATATGACTATATTAATACAGCGATTAATGCAATGTTATTATCAGGTATAACAATGCAGTTTATATAGGACTATTTTGCTGAAAACACCAAGAGACAGTCGTAATGTTATCACTAGGTATAAAGGTATAAACTAGCAAACTAATAAAACGAAAAACATAGTGCAATCATCAGATAAAACGTGTATACAACCACTTAACGTAGATTGTTTCAGGTATAAATTTGCAAAGTTGTTATAGTCACTTAGGGTCAATCACAATGTAATGATCACGTGAAATAGTGAAGTTTATAAGTATATAAGGATAAACACAGTATTGCCACTATGTACAAAATTGTTATTTACTATTTTTATATCAGTTAGAAACTATCTAAGCTTCAAGCATTAAAATGGATGTGTCTATAGTATCATGAGGTTAAACACAATATAATCATCAGGTGTTTCTACTGTAGCTGCATCGGGATAGATACACACAGGTGTTAGCTAGTATAGAAACATCGTCATATACACACAGGTGGTAGCTAGTATAGCAACATAGTCATATACACGCAGGTGTGTGTCACTTAGGTAACATTTTCATACACACACAAGTGTTAGCTAGTATAGAAACATACTCATATACACGCAGATGTGTGTCACTTAGGTAACATTTTCATACACACACAAGTGTAAGCTAGTATAGAAACATAGTCATATACACGCAGGTGTGTGTCACTTAGGCAACATATTCATACACACACACGTGGTAGCTAGCATAGAAACATAGTCATATACACGCAGGGGTGTGTCACTTAGGTAACATTTTCATACACACACAAGGGTAAGCTAGTATAGAAACATAGTCATATACACGCAAATGTGTGTCATTTAGGTAACATTTTCATACACACACAAGTGTTAGCTAGTATAGAAACATACTCATATACACGCAGATGTGTGTCACTTAGGTAACATATTCATACACACACAAGTGTTAGCTAGTATAGAAACATAGTCATATACACACAGGTGTTAGCTAGTATAGCAACATAGTCATATACACGCAGGTGTGTGTCACTTAGGTAACATTTTCATTCACACACAAGTGTAAGCTAGTATAGAAACATAGTCATATACACGCAGGTGTGTGTCACTTAGGTAACATTTTCATACACACACAAGTGTAAGCTAGTATAGAAACATAGTCATATACACGCAGATGTGTGTCATTTAGGTAACATTTTCATACACACACAAGTGTTAGCTAGTATAGAAATATAGTCATATACACGCATATGTGTGGCACTTAGGTAACATATTCATACACACACAAGTGTTAGCTAGTATAGAAACATAGTCATATACACACAGATGTGTGGCACTTAGGTAACATATTCATACACACACACGTGTTAGCTAGTATATAAATATAGTCATATACACGCAGATGTGTGGCGCTTAGGTAACATATTCATACACACACCAGTGTTAGCTAGTATAGAAACATAGTCATATCCACGCAGATGTGTGTCACTTAGGTAACATTTTCATACACACACAAGTGTTAGCTAGTATAGAAATATAGTCATATACACGCAGATGTGTGTCACTTCGGTAACATATTCATACACACACAAGTGTTAGTTAGTAGCATAGCCATATACACATAAGTGTAAATTATTATAGTAACATACTTATAGACACGCAAGTGTAAGTTACCATAGAAACATAGTCATAGACACATAAGTGTCAGTCACCATAGAAACATAGTCATAGACACATAAGTGTAAGTCACCATAGAAACATAGTTATAGGAACACAGATATTGGTTCCTATAGTAACAAAGTCATAATCACAGGTGAAAGTTACTATAGTAACATAGTCATTACATAAGTGTTAGTTACTATAGTAACATAATCATGAACACACAAGTGTAAGTTACTATAGTAACATAATGATAGAGACAATGTAATCATCAACAATTGTATACTATCTGTGGTAACATTAAGCCAACAAATCAAGACATAATAACATTGTTTATTTGTATAACGGTAAGAAATACTACAATCGTACATAAAACTATGGAGAAATAATTCCCCACCGGAATAACTAACCTCAATTCGTAATGCCTCGACTAGAGTTTTAATATTTTTTCACATATTTTGATTTGGATAGTAATGGCTAGATAAAAAATATTTCGTCAGTTCTATAAAGAATATAGTCATATTAATTTATGGATCCTTACTTACAAATTAAAAGTTATAAAAAATGATACCTTTAAACATGGTTAAAGTCCATATCTTTATCAGAGCGATCACTATAAAATGTGGTCTACAGAAAAGGGTGCTTGTTTACAGCTAGAAAACACACGTGATTATAATGGTTGTGAGTGACATACCTCCACTCGTAATATCCTCGCCACCTATCGCATACAATGAAAACAAATAACTGACACTTTTAATCAGTTGCAAATATTTGTCAGTGTACAGTGTTCTGGGTATTAAAATAGAACAAAAACCAGACATTCATTCCAACCCTTGACCTCCCATAAGTATTCTGTTCTTACCAACTGAGCTACCTTGTTCATGTTAGTAAGTGCGTCAGAAGGCTAGTCAGAAATTCGGTCAGTCAATCAACTGCGAAAGTCACTTAATCAACAGTCGAAGTCATAAAAATCAGTAACACTCGTCAACTGTCTGAGAGCACATATTCCAAGTGACCTGAGTAAAAGAAGTAGTTCCCGAGAGAAGTGACATAGCCATTGTCTAGTGGTATATCTATGCTACATAACTCACGTGTTTTGCGTATAACCACTAAATCATTTACTAGAATTCTACCTGATCGATTTATAACTTTAAATGATGAAATCTTATCTCTCCTTACGGACGTTATCGTATGTGTCAATGATAAACATTTAATGTTCCTAATTTTAATATTAATGATGTATTGTTTATCACAAGCTGAATATTACATATCTACCATGACCTCAATTAGCTGTAATAGATTAAGGTTGATAAGGAAATCATGTAAGCCTATCTGATGAAATGGGAGTTCATTTCGGATAGCCAGCCATTTTTGGATAGTCATTTCTTGTCAGTTCGTATCATCTTTTCTCCCAAACCACTAATTATTCTATCACTTACTACGACTTTGAGATAAAAGAACTAGAAAACTTGTAAACTTTGTTGGTTACCCACTAGTGGTTAACACCATTGGTGTGAGTTAAATGGTCAGGTATTTTTTAATTATGACTTCAAATAATAATGCTTTTCGATATCATCATCCGTTGTGACGCAATGCTCTATTGTCGTTGTTTCCCCACCGGAAACAGATATTATGTATTTTCAAAAGGAAACGTGGTTTTCCAGATAAAATGTAGTCGTTGTTGGAGGAAAGGCCCCCAAACACGTGACGATTGATTATCATGTTTATCTTACTCTAGTAAGTTAATTTTCAAAATGTAAAAGACACTTGCCAATCGTCGAATCTTTGTACAATTTGTAAATTAACTCGAGTTAGATAACATGATAGCCAAGTATGCCTTTTTGGATTGTATTGGATGAGAAACAACCAATCTCACCATGTGTGTACTAGTCAAACACAAGTGTACAGCGCCTGTCGAGCCGTCTAAGGTAAATTGCACATATACATTTTTTTTTAAATCACATATGGATGACTATGGAATGTAGAAGGAGAATAGTATCTGGACAAGCTACTTTTTGCCTTAAACAAGATTTGATTTCATCAAAATGTCTGGAGTTTGCTCTTTACATGTTATTTACTGAAAGTTTCTCTTCCAAGACCAGAGATAAATAGACAACAATATAGCATACGGTAGTCACGTTGAAATACAAATTTGATTTGGTTAGCGTCAGAAAACAAAATGAGAATGCCGAAGTAAGCAAAACCGTAAACAAAACTTTAAAAAAAAAAAGTAAAGGAAAATATAAACAAACGGAAGATTTGCATGGAGGCCCTTGAAAAGTGTAAGGAGAAGAAGACCAGAAGTCCCAAAACTGTTAGTGTCCTCTGCTTTATCGACGACACCCGCCATGTAAATCTAGGTCAACCGTGACGTCACGTACTCGAAACAAGACCATGCCCATGGACAGAATCATTTCAAAATACGAAAGCATAAACAACATTTCAAAATATCATGTTAAATGTGGTCAGTATAAAGTTGTTTTGTTATATGATGTGAATTGTTAGTTGTATAAAATTAGTTTTGTCTATCCTGTGACAATTGTGGTTAACGATTAATCAGCTTGAAAATATAATACATAACGATGAGTAAAAAAACGAAATATTTTATATAATATATATTATATTATATATATAAGTCCAATCGAAATAACGGAAAGTTAAAATGTATTTTTTGATAAAGGAGATAGGCAGACGGAAATCAGTTTGCATAATGCGAAAGTTGCATAATTCTCAGTTGGTTAGCGGACAAATACAGTTACTCAAAGAAATTATAACTACGTTCACACATAATAAACAGTTATAAAATAAAGACACAGTGTTAACGTGATAATGACGTCAGAAGTAGAAGGTGGCTTACCATTGGCAGCTGTGGGTGAGGTTATTACGACTTCATATGGGGACCTGTAAACGAGAAGTGGAATAACAAGCTATATAAGCTTCAAATCAGCTATTATATAAGCTTCAAACTACTTATTAAATAAGCTTTAAATTACCTATTATATAAGCTTCAAATTACTTATTATATAAGCTTCAAATTACTTATTGATAATCACAAGCGGTATATTACATATCTACTATAACCTCAATTAGCTGCAATAGATTTCGGTTGATAACGAAATCATGTTAGCCTATCTGATGAATGGCGAACCCGCGACCAAGTGGTGAAGGGCTAATTGTAGCAGAATATCAGACGCCTAAACTACGCGGCCCCTATATTCGAAAGAAGCCTCATGATCATACTACCAAGTACTAAAGGCTTCTATAGTGGTACACATAACCGAATATGATATATATTTAACAAATGCTTTCTATAAAGTCGTATATGGCTATATATATTTGTCATACCTATGTACTTCGACACAAGAAGCGTTATAACGTAAAGGGATGTAATTATACATATGTCAATATATGAAGGAATTGTAACACTTGAGATTATTTTCGGAATTGCATTCACCATGGCCAGTTTGGTACGAATGATAAATGCTGAGTATATTTTAAACACAAACAGGAACTGAAAACTTATCTTGCGACCTTTCGAAAACGTCTGTTTCAAAGTCGAGTCAAGACACCGGTCATTTACACTCTTTGCTTGACAAAGGAAACAGACGTTTTTGAAAGCTCGCAAAAATAAGTTTTAAATTCCTGTTAGTGTTCAAAATAAGCTAAGCGTTTATTTACTTGAGATAATACTATGTGTACTCCAGATATACTTACGATGCCCCGTTCTTGGTCATGGATGGCGATATGGGGACCAGGGCTCCATCGATGTCCCTTAGTGTTATTCCGGAATATCTAAAAAATACATACATAAAATCTATGAAAATGAATTATAAAAATTCCACATTTACAAATGAAAATATCAAATAACACTCTTAAAATAAGGCATGTCCTCAAACAACACTATCAAAAAAGTAACTTTTGAGACATTAGAAAAGAAAGAAAGAGACACGGTGGCCCGCAGTTCCAATTTACTTAGCTGTAAATGAGTACGTGGTTGGGCAGTGCTAGAATTGTTGAATGCTAGCTATTAGCGCCGAAATGGCAGCGCCGAAATGGCAGCACAGGCTGTACGCTCCCCAGGGAGTTGAGAAAGATATTGGCTGGTTGCAAAGGCCCTATAACGACGGATAATAGTTTGTGACCAGCTTTGAGACGACCTACGAACTAGGTTGTGCTAAAGCGGTATATAAGAACTTCGAATTATTATTATTAGTAGTAGTAAAGTACTTCTACCACAATACGCTGTGTTATTCCACTCTCGGATCATTGTATATGACCTACAAGAGTTTTGATTGGTCGAGAAGATGAACTTTGACCGGGACGACTTTTTCCACTTGCTTTTTGCCACATGCTGTTTTGTTTACGTCGTCTGCTATCAACATCCGACAAATGTTGGTGACTTTGTGTGGTTTAGCGGAAAAGGGGGTTATTAAGGCGATATTAAAAGAAGATGATACTTAAAGATTTGATCGCTAGTTTCAGGCAAAATTTCTACAGACGATCGGTATCGTTTCGACGTCACACCGTCGCGTGTCCAGGTCGTGAAACCAAAACAAATTACGATCTGTCACAGTGTCGGAAAATATTTCGTTCTCCCAACGTCCCGTTATCGCTATTTGGACGGCCTGCCTATGGGCGTATGGCTGAACTTTCACTATAAACGTCAACCATAGAACCGTCAAGAAGAAACGTAGGCCTATGGTTTTGGACATTGACAGCGATAAGTTCGTCACTTCGTACGATATGCTTACGCGCATATAGTCCGTGGTTAATTTATATAAATCAATGAAATACGGCTACTCTCAATATGTAAAGTCGTTCATCTATTATATTTTTTCATGAAGTTGTTGCCGAAATATTAATTTTGACAATTGTTGAATTTGTAAAAAAGAAGTTGTTTTTTAATATTAATGAGTGACTTTTTACATATGGGTCATAACACTACGCCAGCCTTGTCAACAAATACACGTGTGCATGTTATTTTCGACTGATCATGAGATTGTGGTAGAAACAGATCACACGACTCGTGGTTGTTGAGTATGGTGTTTATTTCACTCTCGATAGTTAATTTTCAAAAGCTAAAGCTCGTGTCTTTTGTAACTTTTGAAAATTAATTAACTATTTATCTATCTGGTCTAGTATTTGCATGCTTGGCCGATGTGATGTAGAGGAAAATGTTATGGTCACTGTTAGATATGTAGCGTAAGATTTCAGATAGTATCAACACATTTTATTGGTGTTCAAGCTAAGAAAAATTGCTTTTATGAATGAAAGATGTACCATTTTAATATTTCTTTTTTTCGCAAATAGTTTGATTGCGTTTAAAGTGGATAAATACACATGTCTGCTTAATCTAAACTGCACGTGACCAGAAAGTGTCAGGGCTATTTGTGACGAGACCTTATGTCTCAAAAATGTTCATGTAGCAACAGATTATAGAAAGCTAGAATATAGTAAACGGATATCCAAGCATCTTTGTGTGTGTGTCTCTGTTTCTTTAGCTACCTTCTCAGTTCAGTCTTAAATTTGTGCATCTTTTGTGATATAAACTTGAAATGGATGTTTTTGTCTGAATAATAAAAAAAAACATGAAACGTTGCTGAAGATTTTAACTGACCTCCTACAGGAATGTCAACGCAAAGAGTAACACACATAGCTATGTCATCCTCCGTGTGGTTCCTTGACACTGGCGTAGATACCCAGTAGTGTATAAAACAACACGTTATGTGGGGTAAACACACCTTATTACTGACACAGCGGTAATCCCGTCATCACAAACACAAATGTCAAGATTTTACGTCATTGAACCTTCAAGTTAATTCCTGTTTCATAATCCTCTAGTATACCGTTGTGTAATGTATGGATTACGAAACGAACAACATAAATTTTCTGGGGAGAACCTGACTCATGGTTAGAATATAAAACGACACGTTATGCGGGACCTCTAATTAATGACACAGCTGTAATCCCGTCATCACAAATACAACTGTCAAGATTTTACGCCAATATTTTACATAAACCTTTATTTAATGTCTAGAGTAGTTTCTATTGTATAATAAGAGCGCAGCTCTTGCGCAAGAAGCGAAGCTCTTTTCCGGTAACATGAACGCACAATAGCACAACGACCCTACTTCCGTAATCGTCGGTATCGACGGAGGAAGTCAATCAGATGAAGATGAAGAATTGAAGTCATGGTAACGTCGAAATGCTATGCTTCCAAAATCCTTCGTCACGGAAGTAGCTAGTATAGAGTTACCGCGGTCCTATTTTTACAATGCTGTTTAGATTTGCTACACAATCTCAAAAATATCTCTTTATTTGATGTATTTTTTCTGTGGTTATGTAAATTCATGACTTTAAAAATTATAGAAACTGAAGCTTCTTTTAAATTTTCAGTCTTTTCTTCTCTCCTCCCAAACCGGAAGTATATAGTCACTACCAAACCAGAAAGAAATCATGATATGTTTGGGTTATTGTTATTCTCTTTTACACGATTTAAAGGGATCATGTAAAGTATATCATGTCGGAAAATAAAATTGGAATTTAATCACCAATATAGTTAGTTTTTATAATAACAGATAATAACAGTTATATTTGATAAACAATACATCTTCAAATATGAAGTCCCTCTACTGGGCCTCACTCTTTCCGCAACATTACGCTGAGGCCATAGACGGGGCTATTAAATGCAACAGTACCAAATGCATTTGTTTTTTCTCTTGTGACTGCATAATTCATTCGAATGCTTATCTTTACTTATAATTAATTTTACATTTATCGCTATAAAACGAATAAATAGATAATATGTTAAACAATGTTATTTAGAAGATAAGATTGAAAAAACAGCATTTAGACGCTTCTCTCGTTTCAGGCAATGCCTGTTTTCAAAATGAATGATTTTGCCCAGCAAAAGATTCAAGTATATTATAAAAAAAATACAATTACAGGTAAATTTTGTATGTATTAAAATGGGTAATGTTATGATTCAAAAATTATACTTTACTATCGAAACAAATGTACGAGATTCGCTCTCCCCAGGCCATGCCTGAGTCATATTATATGGATTAATAATTCATAAATCAACATATAATGTTAAATAAAACTATCACAGATAGTCAAATTGCTTTTGTCTTTTTCAAACTGCATCTCTTAACCCTGTACCATTTGGCTTAATGTCATGACCTCGGATGTTATTACGGCCATGTTTTCATGACATACTTCTTTAACATATAATCTATTGAAGCCAAAATGTTTTATTCTAAATTTAAGCACTTCTGATCAGTCCAAAATATTCAAACAGAACATCTGTTGAAGTGACCAGAACATTCAGTAAACAATTATCATTACAAACGGTAGATTTGTACATACCGTGACTGTATGACAGGAATACCAATGTGTAACAACATACTCATCTCGACTTTTCGAACCATTCATTATATTCGCGTTGTGACACTTTTTAATGTCAATGTTTATGGCAATATCTATTATATCTATAATACCTATCTTATGCCGTTTGTATACGCTCCCTATCGATACGCGAAACGTCGGCGGTCGAGTGACGGGGAAAATATACAATTTCGTCAATTCATTGTACAGGTAATTAATACCAATCGCTCTCTCAGTCATAGCTTGACAAAGGACCAGTCGATTTTGAAACGTTACGACACGTTTAATACGTACATTGTTTGTGTAGAAAGAAAAAACTTTTATATTCATGGCAATGTGTTCGCCGTGATTTCTTTCAGGGCAAAATTTACGCTTTTGGAGAAACTCAAGCTCGACTAGTCAGGAATACCGTTTGTCCGTACGATGATAACAGGCGACACATGTCATCTAACTGACTACACGTGTTTTAAATGTAAACAACTGATTACACGTGTTTTAGATGTAAACAACTGATTCCACGTGTTTTAGATGTAAACAACTGATTCCACGTGTTTTAGTAAACAATCTTATCTTATCAAATGTTGATATGTCACATGTAAATATGTAAAGCAATTATCACTGTTTACACCTGTAAATATGTAAAGAAATTATCACTGTTTACACCTGTATATAATCAATGAGCACACGTGTTTTAATTTAAATTATAAACAAGTATATAGAAATAATCAATGACCACACGTGTTTTAATTTACATTGTAAACAAGTATATAGAAATTATCACTGAGCACACGTGTTTTAGTTTACATTGAAAACAAGTATATAGAAATAATCAATGATCACACGTGTTTTAGTTTACATTGTAAACAAGTATATAGAAATAAGCAATGACCACACGTGTTTTAATTTACATTGTAAACAAGTATATAGAAATAATCACTGAGCACACGTGTTTTAGTTTACATTGAAAACAAGTATATAGAAATAATCAATGATCGCACGTGTTTTAGTTTACATTGTAAACAAGTATATAGAAATAATCAATGACCACACGTGTTTTAATTTACATTGTAAACAAGTATATAGAATTATTAACTGAGCACAGATGTTTAGTTACAGTGTTTCCAGGTACATAAGAACTATCTCTTATTACATATTTGTATTACAATGGTAGCAAGTCTATATAATTGTTTTATTTACAGGTTAATCAAGTACAAATTAATTATCACTGATTACACATGTTTTCTCTAATGGTGAAACAGGTATATAAAAACAACCACGGATAACACATATTTTTTCTAATGGTGAAACAGGTATATAAAAACAACCACGGATTACACGTGTTTTCTCTAATGGTGAAACAGGTATATAAAAACAACCGCAGATTACACGTGTTTTCTCCAATGGTG